TCGACGTACGTACGACGTACGTAGTAGTACGTCGTCGTCGTCGTCTCGTTCGTTACGTACTACGTAAGTATAACTAACTACTACTACTCTCTCTCTTCTTCTTCTCTCTCTCTCTCTCTCTCTCTCTCTCTCTCTCTCTCTCTCTCTCTCTCTCTCTCTCTCTCAGCTGGAGGAGTTATTGCATCTCTACTTGTTGTGATTTGCTTGATATGGGTGGGTGTGGTGGATGGGGTGGGGTTTCATCATGGTGGTACCTCATTGAACCTTAGTGGCCTTCCTGTAGCCATTGGGTTATATGGTTTTTGCTATTCGGGACATGCTGTTTACCCGAATATATATTCGTCCATGAAGAATCCAAGTCAATTCCCTGCCGTTTTGCTAACCAGGTACCTAGAAATTTGTATTCTTTTGCAATACATACTACAATACCAAATTATCCTTTGTTTCTTTTCTGAGGGAGTACATATAAATGAATTTGGTTTAGCATTAGCTTATTTAACTTTGATTGTTATGCTCCAGTTCTGTAGCATGTACAATTTTATATGCTGGAGTTGCTATAATGGGTTATATGATGTTTGGAGAAAGCATCAATTCTCAATTTACTCTCAACATGCCTCAACAATTCTTTGCTTCCAAAGTTGGGGTTTGGACCACGGTATATGGCCTGATTCCTTGTTAGCATTTTCTCTTCTCATGAGTATTCAATTGAGTATTAGTGATTTCTCTCTCTCTCTCTAGGTTGTGAACCCATTTACAAAGTATGCCTTGACAATCACACCAGTGGCACTTAGTTTGGAGGAGCTTTTGCCTGCATCTCATCTCAAGTACCACTTCTTCTCAATAGTGATTAGAACAGGGTTGGTGCTCTCTACTCTGATTGTGGCACTTGCAGTTCCTTTCTTTGGTAAGTACTCTTTCCAATTTAATTCTTGTTCATCCTTCTTGTGTTCAAAGGGCTAGTGTTTATAGGAATAGTGTACTATGCTCTTTAGTACCATAGAAAACCAATGGTTGTGGCTTTTATGCTGTCCAATGGATGCATGGTTATGAGACAGTGTGACCCCCTAAAACATTGACATCACCAGGTTCCATTCTTTGATTGGACAGCAATGGCACTTATGACTATATTTTCTACAATCATATGAATCATGATATTCCTTACCTTGTTTTAATGAAGCATTTGTTTGCGCTTTGGCGATCGCTTGCCACTAGCTTGGATCGAATGTCAACCTTTGGAGCCACCGTTTGTACTATTGGACCAATTTCTTCATGAGTTTTCTTCTGGTCCTTGGCTGTAATTCTCTTTCAGGGCCAAGTTAGAAGAGAATTTCCTAATTCCTATGCCTTCAACATGGAAATTACAATGAATTGTAAAAACAAATAAAATATATCATATCTGCTTATTTTTTTTGATGACTGTCGACATCTTTGACAAAAGAAAAAGACTTCCCTGAGCAAAGAGTGCCTATCTCTACAGTTCACCTACAGTTCAATTAAAAGCAAAAGGATTTTGAGCACTTCAAACTCTAAATCTGGACAGTCCAAAAACCGTTTGTTTGACAATGAGATCTAGGCTTTTAGGAGCCCATAATCTACTTTCTTTTCTTTTTTTGAAGTAAAAGATCCCTCATACATGGATTTCTTAGGGATCACACCTTCGTACGTACAGAGTCTTCCCTTTAAAATATATTAGACTTTGGTAGACTTACAAAGCAAAGACAAGTGTCTAAATACAAATAAACAAACAAATAAATAAAACAATGATACTGATAAAATATCTGTTTTGCATACAAATGAAATTACCTGTCATCTGTTTTTCAGGTTTTGTGATGGCGTTCATTGGATCTGTCCTTACCATGCTAGTTGTAAGTTTTCTTTTCTTTTCTGTTATCAATTAGATTATGATAAAGCATTGTAGTTTATTGTGGATGTATCAATACATTATTTTTTCTTGGAGATCTTAATAATTTGTTTTTTTAAAAAATGATATTAAAATGAAAAAAAAAGCATAAGAGAATATAATATTAGGAAATAATTCCTTTATTCTTTAAAACCTCCTATGAAAATCATAAGACTCATCTAACCGTAAACTTATCTATTCAAATAAAGATGGAAAGATATTTGTGAATATTGAAATATTACAGAACATGTAGTTTAAAAGAAAAAGCTCTTCTTTTTGGTGAGATTTATGTTTTGAAGACAGCCATAACTTTGGTTTCGTCTTTGCCCATTCTAACATCTCTTTCTCCATTCCTCTCCCCTTCCAATGAATTCGTATTAAAGGACCAAATTCACTTGTATTAGAGAGCCCAAAAACCCTTTCAAGTTATTCATCATTATACCATGGTTTTGCAGGCTCTTATCCTTCCTTGTGCTTGCTACCTGAGCATCCTTGGCAGCAATGTGACTTTATTACAGGTCACCTTGAATAACCCCTCTAATTTTTCTTCCACCCAGTTGAATTCTCAATCCCCAATATTGTCATATTAATTTTGAAATGGTTATTCTTTGGTTACAGAGTGCTGAATTTTGTTCTTGTTTTCTTCCACAGCGGTTCATATGCATGCTTGTTATTGTGGTTGGCGTGGTATGCGCTTGCATTGGGTCTTACTCAGCAATTGGGAAAATAAGTGAAGGTATCAAATAAAACAACCATCTCAACAAATTCTCATCCAATTTTGATGCTCAAGAACCATCGATTAAGTGGTGGTTTGTCTTAAATATGAAGTAGATTCAAGAATACTGGCACAACGATGGGGAAACTGCATAATTCTTTTGTGGTTTATGTTGAAGGACCCAAGAATCACTCCTCGGTCCAAATTCATTGTACAATGCATTACTTTTGTTTTAATATTTTCTCTGATTTCTCGTAGAGAAGGAAGAAATAACCAAGTCCCATGTTCATCTGATACTGCTAGAAATCATGGAAGATGAATTAAGCTGTGTTCTTTTAACATGAAATAAGGAGGAAATAACCAAGTCGTAGCTCTTAGGATATCATGTTTCTGGAGACTTGGGCCTAGCAAACATATTGTTTGGTAACTTCTTTGGGTTCTTAAGAATTGCAGTATCCCTTCTTTGATTGACTGTGAGATTATGAGAGCCCAGGATTCAAGTCAGTAAATTTTCTGTGTTTGTTGAATAATTAATTGATAGAATGTTGATATTTTTTGGATGACATTGAGATTTTTTAAATCATGGCACATCCATAGTAGGTCTAATAAGATTGTTTGTCTAGATCACAAAAAATGGTTGAAGATTTGCATTATATTGCATTTAAATTATTTGTTTTGTTTATTGATTTCTAGAGGGGGACACATATGACACCAAATCCTTGTCCATACTAATTTAATGGCAATACACCTTGTCATAAATTACTTAATTTCTCATTTACAAATGCCAATCATTCAACTTGGTAAATGCAATTCACCAAAAGTCCTAATACTCAACCAAGATACCAAGTAGCCTAATTGATTGGATTAGAGCCATGTATTACTCACATAATCAATCATAGTTAGTGTAATGAGCTGTTGTAGCTTATCTGAGCTGATCCCACTTTGCATAATTGACTAGCATAACCAATTGGAGTGACTTCAAACAAACATAGCTTGCGAAAAACTGATAGAATATGATCCTAACTCACATAAATCATCATCATCATCATCAAGGTATTTTCCCAACTAATTGGGATCCGTTATCCTAACATAAATAACGCGGTTAATTAGTAGGAGGTCATCCTGTTCTCGCGATCCGCACTCACTTAATGGACCGAGTAACCGATTGGTGCCACTATAACTTAACGGATCCACAATTGAAATTGTGTTTTCAAGTAATAGCCCAAACTACTAGCGACCCCAAATGGCCAACAATTTATTGCAGGTACTCACGCTTCCTTCACAACTTGACTGCTTTTCGTACCTTACTATCAAAAGAGAGGAACCGAAAGGGAGACCATGGGATCTCGTTCTAATGGTCATTGATTCGTCTGTTTTTTTTTTTTTGCTTGTTCTTATAGGTAGTCTTTTTAGCTTATTATATAAAACTGATTGCAAGTTTATAATGGCATGAATTTTGTGATTTCACCTGTCATGAAAAATATGATCCTAATTATTTTAACAGATATAAACTGAAGTTTCAAAGTGATTATGGGGTAAATTCTTGATTATCAACTTCTTTCTCAATGCTTATTAATTATCCATGCATACTCTTCCTTCTTGTAATGGTTAACTATAAATAACTGCTACAAGAAATGGCTAGTATTATCATTTCACGTTTAATCATTTGCAATCAATTGGACTTCATGAATCATGTACTTAATCAAATGACCCACCTACAGATTACTATGTAATCAATGAAATGAACCTTGTACAAATCACTAATTACTGTGAATCTTAGAAGGTAAATTGCAATAAAATTGCATAGACATGTTAAAATAGATTTACAAAACTAAAAAATCAGCTGACTTAGTTTACAAATAATAAAATTTAAAGTAAATAGATCTACAGAAATTGATTTATTAAATTTACAGTTTATACAGTAAATTGATTTACAACTAGATTTACTGTGATTTATTAATCATAAATGAACTGTGCTATGTACTACTGTAAAACATTTTACTGTAAATAATTTGTAACCATTTTAAATACTTTTTACATTAGGACAAGCTTTCTATGCTTCCCCAACAACATAAAATTATATACTTCCCCTTATCCAACCCTCCATTATGAATGGAGGGATAAGATTGCCCCAATCACAATGTCATGTCTCTACACTATTTTATTTTAAATTTTTTTTATAAACTATTTTGACACCATGTTTTGGACATCCAATCATCTATTAAAATCGCACTAACAAAAAATATATAAAAAAAATATTTTTAATAAAATAAAATGACCAAAATACCTGTGAAATTTTCAAGGGGTATTTTGGTCATTATATTTTATGGAAAAATTATTTTAAATCTTTTTTATAGATGCGCCCCAATGAGAAGATGGCACGTACCAAATTTCATATTCATACAATTTGTATAAAAAAAATAAAAATAAAATACTTTGAGACGTCGGATCTAAAATAAAAAAGTGAGTGGCTCTTGATCAAAATTGGACGGCTGGATGGTAGCGGAAACATAGATCTTCTATGCTGCAGGGGAAATATAGAAACCTTTCCCTTTACATTAATCTTATGAAAAAAACTAATCTAAAGTGTCAACCTTATACTCTAGAAGTAAGGTGAACCTCAAAAATCTTTTTATAATGCTTTATTTTCAAAAGTAAAGCCGAAAGCCAGCACTTATATTCACAATCTCCATTTTTCCCTGAATCAATTTACTGCAAATAAGCCATCATCATTGTGTCGTTAATCAGTTTTGGCGTGTCACCCAACACGGACAGACAGACACATAGGGGGAGAGTGTTAATAATTTGTCTTGAATTCTTATATTTAAGGGATTATTTTCCTTTCATTTTGTGTGTCCCATGTTTTTCGGATTTATTTTGGGATTTCCATTGACTAATTTGTTATTTTGGGAGTTCGTTTATGGAAAATGTCCTACAAGATTAAAATGGTCATAAAAGTTCGTATTTCAAGGATAGTGTTAGATTTACAAAAAGGTCGAAAAAATGGAAGGCTTTCACGTGCTTAGTTTTTGGGGTTTCTATTACTCTATATTAGTTATTGTATAAGAGAAACATAAGGAAATATGAGAGATTGGATTCATCTCTGGTTTCTCATATTAGTTATTGTATAAGAGAGAAACATAAGGAAATATGAGAGATTGGATTCATCTCTGGTTTCTCAGGTAAGAGATTTTTGTAATTTTTTTTCATTTAAATAGTGAAATGCCGTTGATTGTCCTCATATATGGATGTAGTTATATGTGATGAAGCACGTAAAATTTTTGTAGTTATATGTGATGAAGCACGTAAAATTTTGGTATTCTTTTAGCATTATTTATTTCATGCTTTATTTTTTCTTGTTTGTTGCCGGTTCTATTTTTTCTCGCTCTTTATTTGTTGGAAATAAACTAGTCATGTTTTAGAGCTTCTGCACACAACAAGTGGTATCAGAATCTAGTTTGATTTGATGCAAAAAATAATTTCAAAATCTGGCAAATCAATGTTTGCAATTTGCTAGTACAACAAGGTATATATAAAGTTTTGAAAGGAAAGTTGAACAAACCAGAATCCATGTCAAATAAAGATTGGAAAGACTTAGACTTTAGGGCCATGATCACAATTCGATTGTGCCTATTTAGCGAAGTAGTGTTTATCATCGTTAATGAGGATTCGACATCATCTTTGATCGAAGCTTCAGAGTCTGTATATGATGAAGTCCCTCACAAATCGGTTGTATTTGAAACCACAAATATACACCTTGCTTATGAATGAAGATATGGATATTGATATTCATGAACGCTTGAATCAATTTAATAAAATTGTTTGTGAATTATTGAGCATTGGTGTTAATATGGAAGATGACGATAACTATTATCTTATTGTCCTCACTCCTCATTCGTAAGAGAAGTTTATCATGATATTGATAGGTTTCTGTGGCCATTAAAGGTCTTGTGAGAGCGTGTATTTAAATATTTGACATAGTGGAACATAAACTCAGTGGGAATATGGTCATTTGTGAACCAAGATAGGTAAATACTATTTGTCAATACTCAGACTTGGAGTGATGTACTATGCCAATCGAGTTGGAAAACTTCATTGTCTGGGCATGGAATAAAACTGATGAGATTTTGAAGAGGCATCCCTTGATGAGGTCGCAGTTGCCCAGAGCCTCATCACTTAATCATTATACGGCATGTACATATGACATGTACATGTGATAGCTTTATTAAGAAAGCGAGTCACCATTGAGAGCGAAGCATGTACATGTGCAAGAGATTACCCCTATTCGCCGTAGAATTGTGGTTGCATCAGGTTTGTGGACCTTGGACTCGTCTATAGGGGAGAACCTATAATCCATAGACTGAGATTATGTTCCCAATCATGAACCTTCTGCAGTGGTCTATGAGTCACGGGAACTGCAGGTTCAGTTTGAGAAAGTAAGTGTGAATTATAGTCCATAGTAGAAGATTTAGTACTTCAGCAATATTATAATTCCTAGACCTAGTTGAATCTGATTTCCATCAAAACTATTTGAAATTAATTATTTTGATGTTAATTGATTTTTAGAGTGATTATTTGAATTTTTAAAAGTCTCTAGATATTTTATTTTTATAAAAGGGATTTATAAATTGAGAAATATTGATTTTTCAATAGTAAAATATTCAGAGAGAATTTTTTTATTAGTAATATTCTAAAAATTATTTTAATACTTTTATAATTCATAAATATTTGAGAGGACCCGTGGAGGCCCACCAAGTCCACCATTGTGATGTGCCTATTTTCTAACCTTGTGAATCAAGGCAATCAAACAAGAGAAAATTTATGGAATGTGTTTTGTATAGATTTTGATTGAAACAAGAACGGAAGATTTTGAAATTAAAGAGATTTGATTTCAATTAAAAATATATATATATGTTAGAAAATTATGAAAAATAAAAGTAATCATGATATTATTATTTATATTTTATTATTTGATGGAATTAGATTTAAGAAGCTTAATGATAAAGTTCTTGTACATTCTTTTGAATCATGATAGTTGATCTAAAGATTGTATGACTCAAATATCTCACTCCACGGGTCTTTTATCATCAATTGTCTAGATTTAATCTCTATAAGGATATTAAGAAACCCTAAACCTAAAGAGAATCTAATCTCCACCAAATCTCTACACCACTCATCTCTCTCTCTACCCTCTATTGGTGGCGCGCCACCCTCTCTTCTCTCTCTAAGATCTCTCCATCTCTCTTTAGAAAATATATTGGGGAAGAAGAATAAGGGGCACGCCCATGCTAAGGCTAAGAGAGGGGCATACCCCTACCATTAGACATTGAGGTCTAGACTATTACCTCATGTTGTTCCATTGCTCTCATATTAGATTAATGCTTGTAGCCTAGGTTTTCTCATGCTTCAAGGATCTGAGATAGACAATTGATCCCATGCACTATAAGAGGAGGAGACCCATAATGGG